GCAAGGACACTACTAGGGGCTCCTGGCCTTACTACTAGGAGCAAGGACGCTACCAGGGGCTCTGGCCTTACTACTGGGAGCAAGGACGCTACTAGGGGCTCCTGGCATCGCTACTAGGAGCATTCTTACTCCTAGTTATGTTTAGCTGATTTGGGCCCTAATGGTGTAGCTTCTATTCCGCACACAAGACATGGCTCGTGAAACCTTGAGCATGGCACCAACCACCAACTAAGAACCGCACACAACAATGAAACAATGAAGCCATGTTCTCCCGTTCTTGAAGTGAGGGCGAGGATTGCCATTGTTCTTCAGATCCTCGGCTCTGGCCACCTTTTCTCGGCTCTCTAGATCGACCTCACTGGATTGAGCTCCCTGACATGTTCAGAAATCCCTCAAGCCTCTTGCACGGCCGAGATTCATTTCGTGCTGCCTTCAATGGCTTCAGTTTCAGCTGCGCTGCTTGCAAATGTTTCTCCAATCTGCAAACGACAAAAAACTCTCACGCTCCATTGAACCAGTACCTGAACATCCAGGAGATGTAGAATGACATAGGATACCTTTTGTGATATGATACACATATATAATCATGTATATATATATATTATACAGTATGCAATGTATGTGTCAATCTGCTGAGGTGTCCCAATGTTGATTAGTGGGATGAGTTTGCAAAGAGGCATGTCGAGAGACGTGAAGGATCCTTGCCCATCAACACATCACAGTGATTTTTGTTTATTGGAGCAACGAGAGTTGGAAGGACTTCCATATGGTTTCTCAGAAGGGATTTGTCACCCAAAAGGAAGAAGCCTCTGCCGTTTTTGGTGAACTGGCCAAACACTTTGCATCTACTCCAGCTTGATCTGTCCCCACTGGAGGTCCCATCGAACCTGAACACCCCAAAAGACAAAGACCTGCACCTTCCTCTCCGTGTGTTGCATCGCTACTAGTTGCAAGGCACCGTATACTAGTAGTAACAAGAAGCTACGAACGTAGCTCCTGGCATTACTACTAGGAGCAAGAAGCTACGAACGTAACAAGGCCCGTTTGACTTCTTCTGGTGAAGTGCCTCTGGAGTTCCAGTTCTCCACGAGGAGCGCTACTGTCCAGCTGCGGCAGCTCGCTGCGCTTAGCCTACATTGGACTCGACGTCCGGTTTCCAGTTTCCAGAGGTCCTTTCAATTTTCAAACATTGGAGAACCCCAAAACCAAGCAGTTTAGTTTACAGTAATTTGATTGTCAATTTTCCCAAAGACTGGACTTATCCATTGTTTAAAACACATCGAATTCAAAGAAAAGACGATCGAACGCATGATGCCGGCACCTTCAAGGAGGCCCTGACGCCGTCCAGTGCCTGCACAGAAAGCACCGAGGGCAAAGCATGGTGGGGACGAAAGCAGTGGACAGAGTTCGTTGGCCCACGGGCTTATCAGTGTATAGTGTGGTTTGGTGTATAGACATCAAGACTGACACAAAAGTAGCGGAGTCACCTGTGTGTGAAATTATATAGGAAGTTTTTGCTATATAATGGAGATTGGTCGTGACTACCGGTGGAATATTGCAGCTTGCTCTTCAATGTCGCTTCTATGAGATGCACCAACCGTCCATACCAGTGTGCCTTTTTGCCAGCGGCGCTCAAAACGAACAAAGAAATCTTCCGTCAACAATGACAGATAAATCTACCGGGATCCCTGAGTTCACTCACGGGCAAGTAAGCTGTCCGACATGTTCTTCACCACTGGAGTGGGACGTCATTTGAAGGCCCCAGCTTCTGATTGGCGCCGCGCCAAGCCTCTCTCTCCCACGGTAGGTTGCCGGGCCTGCTGAGCTCTCGCACAAGCGGCCTCGGTCATCTCCACAGCATGCAGTTTGGAGTCCTCCTGTCAGATGGTCGGTCAACGCTGATCACCCACCATTAATAAATTAATCATCCTGAGAGAAACAAGTGTTGAAGGGTGGTTTTATTTCATCATGAAATGCCAAGAACCGACGAGGATGTGTTTTGCAAACGATGTCATTCTGACGATCCCAACTTGCCTGACGATCAAATGGATCAAAATGGCCAACTTCTGAGGATTGACACGGTGAGCAGCCGAAGTGAAATCAGTAGTGGCAACCACTGTAGTGGCTGGTTCCACTAGTTCCAAAACATGTAGACCTTGAACAACCTGGAGCCTGGTTGTCAAGCGGGTCCGCCGAAACATACTTGAATTAATATATATATATATTTCTTGACCTCAGGCTAAGTCATCTTCCACGCTCTCAAAACTGATATTCACCCTTTCACCTGTCTAGTGAATCATCTGTGTATCTCTGCGAGTTCTTTGTACATATCACTAATGGGCTACCAATCGGAACTTTGGGCCACCAATCTCAACGACAATTCTTGACAACATTTGACAATTTATGTAAAACATTGTAAAACACCCATTGGTGTTCAGACGAGTCTGTCATTTTGGGAGGCTCCGCATGCCCGGCCAGTCTGCTCCCGGCGCAAGTGCCTCAGCGTTGGCAATCATCTCGTGGGTGATCAAGGCCTTCTCCACTTCGTCTTCTGCCTCGTTGACCTCGGGAAGTTGTGGCTCCCTTCGCCCAATCTCAGAGGCCAAACAAATCCCGAACATAGAAAGCAAAAACGATCCAAAATGGGACAGGAATCGATATTTAAGAAGGTCAAAACAATAAGTCCCAAAAGTCAAAGTGGAAAAAACGTCAAATCAGAAAGTTTAAGACAGTCCAAAAGAAGTTAGTTTGCCCAGATCCAACTTGTTCTTTACTTTTGTGTTTCTAATGTTGACTTTTTTTGACTTGTTTCCGACTTTTTTTTTGACTTGTTTGGACTTTTTCGAGTGGTTGACTTGTTTGACTTTCATTTGACGTTTTTCTTTTTTAAATCTATTTTTTGAGTTGTTTTATAATTTGTATTTTTTTGACCTTTTTATCGACCTCTTTTTGACTTGTTTATTTTGATTTGTTTTTATGTTTTGACTGTTTCAAGCAGTGGTCTATTTTTGACCTGTTTTCGACTTTTGCTTTGACTTTTCCATTTGACTTTTTTCGACGTGTTTTTTAATCAAGGATTCTGGCCTTGCCATATGAACGGTTTTTATATGACAAGTCGTGTGGTAGTTGCCATAGATGGTCTAGGCACCAAATCTGCACAACTTCTTGGACTCCATGAATCAACGATTGATGATATCATCCATCGGCCGGTTAGTTTCAATCACTCAGTGCTCACAACAGTTCCTTCAAAAAAAGTAACGCATGTTTGTCAAGCCACAATAGACTTGATGTCGGGCAAAAAGTGCTGCATCGCCAGGGAGTCCAGCTTCTCTTGTTCCTCTCGCTTCCGTGCATCTTCCACCTCCTGACAAACAGGTTTCAAGCTTCTAAACCGTTCTGGTCAGGTTCATGACATTAAGACAGATTTCTGTTGTCAGCAAACTTGAGAGGGGTGGGACATGTCTACAAACTTGCAGGCAGTGTGTTCAACTGATTAATATAGGTGCGTCGATCTGAGAAACTCTTGCGTCAAGCCATGTTACTTCAGTGGCAGCAGCGTCGTCAACACCCGTAGCAGGGGTCTTAGTGATCCTAAACATCATAGTCCTAGTCATTGTGGTACAAGTAGTGTACCCAGTACAGCTCTTTAGCGCATAAACAAAGCACATCTCGCTTGATATACCCTGAACGAAGGCTTGACCATACAAATAGGAACCCACCCATGCAAAGGACAAAGCAAAGCGCGCATCCTTGCTGACCCGCCGCAGGTTTGCGTCTTCCTTTTGCAAAGCAGTGAAGGCGTCAGAAACTCTGTTGCCTCACAGAGAGGGATTTGGAGTCTCCACCATTTGCCCCACCGGTCTCCATGGTGTCGGGTAGATTCTAGGCTGGAACTTGTGGCCCTGCTTGGCCCTGCTTGAAGCCCTCAGCATGAAGCACATGTATTTGAACCAGTTGAATCACGTCACCCGTCTCACGCGATGTAGCCCTCAGAGCGTGCTCTTGCAAGTCAAATGGGTTGTTGTTCCACATCAACAATTCTTTACACAATAGAGCTACTGCACTGCAAGTCAAGAGAGACGCGATGTGTTTCATTTATGTTCATATCAAATTATCACTGTGGTCAATCGCCTGTCTGATGACATCTAAAGAAACAAACGTCACCTTGACAAAAATGTGAGTCTTAGGTCATGAGTGTTGACAAGCATATCCGCGTAGAAACCCATGTTGCACGTGTAAATCAAATTGTGATGTCTCATGCTGCGACAGGATATGTACCTGTTCGTTTGGTCACGCGCTTATTGTATATCAAAACTACGCCGCTAGAATCAATCGATAGTGACAAACACCAAAACCCTCTGGGAACATGTGTTCAATAGTTGCACCAGCTCATGTGGCCCAGAACATACATGCAATGAATTAAAACAATGAACAACTTGTTTGCTTTCTTGGAAATCATTATACAAAACATTGAGAACATGGGAGAATGCAGAGTTATTACTTCCAATAACTGTCTGAAGATGCAAGCAGTTGCAGGAACTAGTCTGGACGCTCGGAATGGCCACTCGAGATATGTGTTGTTCCAAGAGCATGCTGGGGACTTTGTTCTGAGTGATATATATATATTTATACATAGTGTAGATGTTCTAAGCAAAAGGTTTTGAACAGGTGCTATCCGTAGCTATATCAGTGTCAGCCTTTGATGAGAAGAACCTTACATATTCGTGCCCGATTCATTTACATATCATACCGTAATGGTGACGAGCCGTCAACTTAGTAGACGTTTTGACAAACTGGGCGATGGCGATGGTTTGCGTTGTCTTTGTCCCTTTTGACGTTTGGGGTGTTTTTTGTCACAATATCCTTTGACACATCTTAATGAACATCTTTGACAGTGTGCCCCCACATGTTCCTGGACATCTAAAAAATGTTTAAGTTGGGAGGCTTGCCTGGTAGTGGGAAGCAAACATAATAAATATATGAATAGCGCAACATGCATTCAACCTCTTGGTTTGGGCATGTTTAGGCCAACGTTTTTGATTGGATTGGCGTCCATGGTGGGGGGAACAACACTTCAGTGCAAATTGGACTACATGATTGCACACACTGCGAGGGATTCTGTCTCTGGGTCCACAAACCACAAACAAGTTTCCTACCACTTTCAGGAAAACCAAATTCCATCAAATTCCCAAACAAAACCTCCCCGTCCCCATTGCAATAGTAGAAGAACGGCTAGTTCAGTGTTGAAACACACAGGGAGATCCGTATTTGGGTGTTTCTTGGGTCTATCTTATTACCAGTAACAATGGATGATGATGGTTATGAAAGGCAAAGGCCTTGTTCAAAAATAGTGACACATGTTTACTGATTGTTACAGGTAATGGGACAAACCCAAGACGTTCCTATCTTTCAACTTGCTCAGCTCGGACGAAGTCGCCCTCAAAAGTGAAAGACTCGTTACCAGTTACCCTTGTAGTTCTTGACCTTCGCCCGATGGTCATTTCAAGTTGCTAAACTCTTGAAAATCTTCAAGCAGCCCGTTGCCACTCCTCGATTTGCTCTCAACTGGACCAAATTAGGCCCGGCCCCACGGAGCAAAACCAAATTCAAACACATTCTCACATCAAACATGTTTATATGCTAGTAGTGTTTTTTTTCTGCATGGTGCACCTCTTTCTTTAACAAAGCAGGGAAGGTGGTAGTGCGCATTTTGCACATATTCTATGTATTCATATGAATAGTACTGCTATCTTGTACTACTATTTCATTATTGTCTTAATAATGGTGTAGGCAGTTGCTTGCTTGCGCTGTGCAGGCTTCAACATGGTTATTCCCTTTGCATTTGCTGTCTGTGTGACAGAGTCACCAAAACAAAAAAAAAAACATTGCCATGTCTTAGGATCTTCCCCATAAAAAGGAACCGTCTCAACAAATTTGACAGTGCAAGCGGCCAATAATGAAACAGCATACACATTAGATAACTGCATTGCAGAACTTGTAGGGTAAAGAAACAAACAATAAATTCACCATATTCAAATGATATTGCGAAGGTAGTTTGTAGCTTTAGTGTGTAATAGATGCACGGAGACACTGGAAATAAGGAGCCATGACCAACGGAAGAACAGTTGAACATCTGAACGTTGGTTAAGTTTGACAAAAAGATATCATTTGATTAGTCATCAAAAACATAAAAAGAGTTAAGCGTTGGTATAATGAACTATGGTTTGAAAGGAGCTTGGAATCAACACGACAATGCAATGCATACAAAATGAATATTTTATGACTACTATTCAGTGTACATGGTAGTGGATAAAAGCTAGAACAGAAACAGATAAGAACTTGTTAGAGGTTGTATGTCTGGACGCTTACATAGAGACACAATTCTACTTGTATACAGTGCCACTACCTAAAAACCACAATTATCGTAACCAGACTGTGAGAATTTTATCTAAAGAGAAAGAAAATGCTAGTTCATTAATAACACTATGACTATATATTTATTTTAAGCTTTGTGAACTACTTGCTAAATACTTGCTCTCAATATTTGATCTGCGTCAAGGCCCGTGTTGAAAAGCTGTCAAGGTGGTAGAGCATGGTCGGGTGCATCTGCGGTCGACCATCACCTGGCAGACAAAGAATATACAAAGTTTCCACCTTCCGTGGGCGCACAGTGATGAGTCGTTTCATCACCGTGCCGTTTCCACCCCCTCAGGGGGAGGTGGAGGCCGCGATGGGACCTCCGCAAAGAACTGTATCACAAAGGAAAGAACGGAAAGAAGTCATAGGAGTCGACCATCAGGTGTCCGTCCTCACAAGCATGCACGGTGAAACCCTCAAGCTCTGCCATCATTGAGTAGGTTTCAGCTGCTTCCACAGCTGCTTCTCGAGCTGTGGAGTGCTGGACTTCGTTTGCAGCAGTTCAATGCCTGCTCCCTGCCATGTGTCACTGTGGGTCAATAGCACGGCCAAATGAGCCCGGAAGGTCGGAGGAGGCATGGCTGACACCTTGCATTCCGAGATGTAGTGAGCGGCATCGCCAACAGATAGGTCAAGCCAGTCTTTAAGAATGGACCAAGGAGGGTGAGAGTCATCCGCCTCCGCTGGTTTGGAGTCCAAGAGAGCCTTGCGCAAAAACTGGAAACAAAGTACCTGGCGCGGGCAATCAAAGGGGAGGTACCCTTTCTGGTCCTTGTGCTCTTGGAGCTGCTGGAACCATTGGGTGACCAGATCTGCAAGTTTCTGCTTTGTCTTTTGCGGGGAAATCAAAAAGGTGACACTATTGGTGTCAAAGGCATTCAAAGGCAGCTCGAAGCATGGGTCGCTGCGTCAAAGTCAATCGCGCCAGTCCCTGAACCAAGGAAGCTTCATTGGACTGGGTGGCCGTTCTGCCAGAACCCTTGGCATCGCCCTTGCCTTTTCGGGCGGTTTTCCGGTCTCGAATGCTGGAGAGCGGCCATGGCTAGCACAAGTGAAGACAAAGCTGAGCAAAAAAAGGAAATCTCTCATGGTGCGAAAATGAAAACATGCACTCTGTACTTCTTGGCAAAAATGAAAAGAATCGTGGTCATCCTCAGCCCCGCTGCGGGCATTTGTGGCTGCTACGCAGGTGGGGCCGTAGAGGTCTGACCCCGTGGAGCCATATGTCATAGGGCATTTGTCTGCACAGTGACGAACTGACATGTTCGGGGAGGTAGCACAGGTTCTCGAGGCCACCAAGCTGGGAGGTCCGACACCCCAATCCGGCGCTGAGTTCGAGGTGCCGCGGGCGCCGCGTCAGGATTGTTGGCGGCAGGTCTGCGAAGAACTGCCTGGGGGGGCCGGATTGGGAAGCGGCGGTGGCGCCGGGGGATGGAACTGGGGAGCCGGCTGCTTTCCACGCAAGCGACGGCGTGGAAGGGGCGGTGCCTGGGCGGGGGAATGGGAGGTGGTGCTACTTGTATTTGCTCTCCAAAAGGTTGGAGTGTGGCCTGTTGACGCTGCTTGCGTCGGGCCCGGGCTGCTTTGTCTAGTTCACGACGATGAGGAGGAAGAACAGCACATGTAGTGACATGTTGCCAAACTGCATTGACAGGGAAGGGCTCACTGCAGTTGGACAGGGTACTTTGCCGTCATCTGTCCGGGTCAGTCCAGCTAACTCAGGCCATGGCTCGCAATGGAGGAAAGATATCTCCACTTGGAAACAGACCCGTGAAATCAACTAAGATGCAGCGCGCCATGCTCCCGGGGCCCTGCTGAACGTAAAGTGGCATCCCGCTCCGAGCGCAGAGTTGCCGTGGCTCTGGTGATCCAATTGGTGGACCATCCAGCTTCTGCTATTCCCAAGGCTTTGCGAAGGTCTTGTAGTCGAGCCCAAAGCGCTCGTTGGGCGTCGATCGTGCCCTTGGAGGTCACGCGTCGACCGCGGTGAGGTTCTTCAGCGGTGTACAACCAGAGCCATAGTGCCTGTTTCTCAAGACGATCGTCAGGCATGCGAGCTGTGTGGCCCAGCCATCGAAGTTGACGTGTTCCCGCAGTGTTCGTGATCCAGGCCCCAAGAAATTTGGCTTCTGCTTGAAGAGTGTCAATCGGAACTTGGGCAAGGTTGGAAGCTTCCTGAAGTGGCATTCCCAGCGGAATTCGATCCGTCTTGTCGACATTGAAGTCCTCACCCCAGGTGGACAAAACTGTCCGAAGGTGTTGTTCATCAGTTCTGGATCTTGCCAATCCTCTGTACAAACATGAAGTTCAGACAACATCACAAAGGACAATTGCCGTTCCCGTGCAGTCTGTATGAGTGCACGAAGTTTGTGAGCATGACTTAGTAAACGCCAATTGCGGCCTTGAGTATTGAGGACCACCCCCTTGAAGTTCGGCTTCGACGAACGAGA